GGAAGTTACTCATACAAAAGTCACGATCTCCAAAGGTCATGATGTTCCATATGAAAAGACACATCTTTTCATTTACATCATCTCTAGAATATTCCACAATATTCTACACAATTTTCAAATAATTTCAAGTATTAAGTGGTTTAAGTTTAGCTTAATTTCTCATTCACCGAACAAGGAATTTTCACTTAAATCATTTCAACCAATTTCCAATACAAAATTCCAACAGAAGTCACTTCCATTGATCATAGCTAGCTATATAGTATTATAACAAGTCAATAAAATAAAATACTACGTATTAAATTGCTACAAAATGAGTTGATTCCATTCTATTTTCTTTCGAGTATTTGTTACGAACCAGGCGTTTCTAGGTTTTATGTTTTATTGAGTTTGAATTAGTCAAAGTGTAATAGAGGAGGGTAACAAGAGATATGAGAGAAAATTGCTAGTAACAAAATAAGGGTTTGAGCTAATATTCTTGACGAGATTGACATTTCAAGATGAAATCTCAAATATTAATAATCCAGACTTTCCGTTTACGAAAATTGATAGGATCGGCTTTTGATGAAGAAAAAGAACTAATCAACTTATAAGGACAACTTTGTTAAAAGAAGTAGTTCAAACCATTCTATATATATCTTGATTATTATTTTTCATGTTTTAATTAATGTGAAAATTTATCCCCTAACAAAAAATACGTTGAAGATAATATTTAAATTTTAAATAACTAAATTTGATGTTTTTCTATCAGTTTACACTTCTCGACAACATGTTTTATGAATTAAATAAAATTTATTTCTCCAAAAACTCTTTTTTTTTCTTTCTAAAACTCATTTTCAATTACATTTTCTCACAATACGTCATATTGTTTATCTGATTTATTTTCAATGATGCTAAGTAGCTTTTATGGACAAAAGAAAGGTTAGCTAGCAATGAGATATTGATTGAAAATGGCTACATCATATGAAATTCAGTCTGTTTATTTTTGTATAAACATACTTGAAAAAAAGCTGGATTCTTTGTATATTTGCTTATTGAGTATAAGCAAAAAGGATTTCCCTTTTTCCCTTTTATAATTCACTCATAACACAAAATCTTTCTTTAAATCGACACGTTGCCAGCCAAACGAGTTTCTTGGTGGCGGATATATGCTATTTGATGTATGCACGGACATTGTTGGAATGACTCGATATTTTTAAATAGAAACAAGCTTCTAAGTAAAGTTCAACTTCTGTTTGAACCACACTATTTTTTTCATTCTCATTCTTCTACTTATTTTAAACAACGTATTTTTCAATAAAATAATATTTTACATCACATCAATAATTTTTCCTTATTTTTCAATTACATATTCCCCATCACATAAAAAAAATACATTCTTGACTAAAAAATGTGCACCAAAAAGGGGCTCGGAGTAAAATCCCTTAGCTGTCTTTATGATTTTGGATAGATTTTCCAACTTATTTTGTCTTATAAGTTGTGGGACCTACATTTTTGTGGATTTTGGTGCATATAATTTGTGGCTCCTCTAACTTGTAAGAAAGTTATTTTGTTTTTTGTCAGACTTAGTGCTTATTTTAAGCTTGTATGAATATGGGTATCTAGGGTTGGTAGCGTAGACTATCAGTTTGAGAGCACAGGAAAAATTTCAAATTAATCCAAACTTCATGTTTGGAAGAAGTCATTGTGTGATTGTTTGTCGAAAAAGAGTAATCGAGACACTTTTCAAGACAAAAATTTTCATAGTTAAAACATGAAATGTTATTTGTAAATTGTGTGTGTTTACATTTTTACAATTGTTGACCTCAGAAAACGAACTCAATAGATGCTAGGTCCACTCATGCTTACGTAAGCCATATTCAGCACGTTAAGGTAGATCTACGGTCAAGATCACTCCAAAGATTGGATGTGAGAGAAGTTCAATGACACGAGACGTTTCCGTTCAGATTCCGACATGATTTACGGAACACGATAGTATAATGATTAGTATAAAAGAGCAAGATTTGTAGTTGTAATAAACTGATAAAAGAATAAGATAAGTTGCTTTGAGTATTTAAAGTTTCATTAGCCTTCAATTGTTACATGGTGGGAGTATTTGTAATGTTACAAATTGAATGGTGACCATCGGATCAAATTATATGTGGCCTCATCTCGTCGGCCGAAACATCATATCCTAACTATCAAATATTGACAAAACAAGACATAAATACACTTTTCAAAAATGTCACATTAATCATTTGAATAAAGATCTTTATCATGAGCAAATCCATACACATGGACCGTCACGAGTTGGAGAGCCTCGGATCCAGAAGGTGCCTCAGAAACAATTGGGCCTCGGCTGATAATAGAGTATAGGATAAGGGGCATCGGTCTTCATAGAAAGAGACATGGCGATTGGGTTGGATCGGGTCCCACAACTTAATTACGATGGCCACGTGATAGTCCCTAATAATGAGTCATAACAACACTCATTGAGGTGTGTCACAATTATTTTTAAGTATTTTTGAGTCTTTTCACAAGGTCAATTTATCTAAATATTCCATACTAGATATGCTGGGAATTGGAAAGATAGGCTGCAAAGGGCATGCAGAATACTTTCACGGAATTTTTTCACAGAAAACACATAGCAGAATTTTATTGGTTTTTGCCAAAACAAACAAAAAAAATTGCACCATACGAGCACATAATTCTCTGTACGCAAGGAATTATTCTATAGGAGACATGTTAAACCACACGTGTCATGTCAGCTGTAAAGTGAATTTTTTTATGGCTTGTTTTGAAAGATGATATTAGGGGTGGACAAAAAAATCGAAAAATCAACCAAACCAAACCAAACCAACTCGGGTCGGTTTGACATAGTTATTGGTTTGATTTGGTATTAT